TACAGGCACCCACCACAGTGCCCGGTTATTTATTTACTTAATTTTTAAACATCTATTGTTTGCCATGTCCAAAATATTAGGAAAAGTGGATAAAATATTGGAGCAGTTTGCATTGATTTGGTGAATGATGTACACAGGCATAAAGTTACGTACAGTAGGAGTAGCCAGTAGAGCACATGGTTATGGAACTTGGTTTATAAAATATTTACGCATTCTTTGAGCTGAGTAAGGTAAGCATTTTTATCCTCACTTTATAGATGAGGAAACTGCTCAGTATTAAACAACTAACTAGTAGCAGAACTTAAATCTGGTTCTCCTATTATTCCCTGCCATCTTTCTAGCAGAGACAGTGGAAGGGGAGGCTAGGGAGGGAGATAAGTTTGAACCAGACCTTGAAAAGAAATCTCTATGAATTTAGAGGCCAGCACATTGAGGCAAAAGGATTGTCGTCACCCTCTGACTGTTCCCAAGGCTCACCCTGTGGCCCCATTTCACCTGCTTCTCTGGGAGCCTCACCTTGGAGGATGGAGCCTGCAATAGGGTGAGGTGTCTGTTGCACATACTACTGGATAATTAACAAGCTCTTGGCTTTGTACTTGTTTTTGAGGCCCAGCCACAAGGCCACATCAAAGTGGCTGACGTGGCAACAAACAGGGCTGGCAAGTTGGAGTGAACCTCTTCATACAAGGAAGCCTGGAGGGTAGGAGGCGGGTGAGCAAGGCTGAGCTGAGGACAGGTGCAGAGCTGTGCTAGCTCCTGTGTTCAGTGCATGGTCTTATGTAGAATTCTTAGCCCGAGTTACCAATCTTTCTAGCTGGAGATCTGGTATGTAGGAAGCACTGAGTATTTGTTAAATGATAAATTTGCTGCTTTTTAAAAAGATAGAAATAAGATTTTCCCCATTCTTAGTCTACTTTCTTTTTTAGAGACAGAGTCTCACTTTCTCACCCTTGGTAGAGTACCGTGGCGTCACAGCTCACTGCAACCTCCAGCTCTTGGGCTTAGGTGATTCTCTTGCCTCAGCCTCCCGAGTAGCTGGGACTACAGTTTCCTGCCACAATGTCTGGCTATTTTTTTGTTGGAGTTTGGCTGGGGCTGGGTTTGAACCTGCTGCCCTCTGTATATGGGGCCGGTGCCCTACTCACTGAGCCACAGGCGCCTCCCCTTAGTCTACTTTCTTTAATGTGAAAACACTTTTAAAGGAAATACCAAGTCAGTCTCAGCATTTACGTTTTGAATATTATGAATGCAAAGATAGAGTTAGCCTATCCTTTAATTTGATTTTATTGGTCCTGGGTTAATATATTTTAGTTACTGCCATTACATTTCAGAGACTTCCCTCCCTGGCTTGTTCCTCGGAAGGATTGAAGATAAAAACAACTGAACTTAATAGACTAATTAACATTTCAAAGCACATCAAAGGTCATAACCCAGATGACTGACTGTGGTTAATTTACTCAGAGTTTCAAACCCCTCTTCTTTTCCACTTTTGTTCAGTGGGTCTTTCTGTCTGGCTAGGATTACAGCTCTCTTTTCTTTCTTCTCATGTGTGGGCTTGATGTGCCAGTGTCTTCAAGACAACTTTCTTCAGCATCAGATTTGTTGTGAGGCCTAGGTCTAGTGGTGCCAGAAACACAGAGATTGTAAGAGGAGTCATCACCCCAGTAGGGTCCCCACAGTGAGGGACTTGAGTAAGATTCAGAGCAGACCATGCTGGGGGGTGTCCTGGTGAAAGTGGTGTCTGGAGGTGGGCATTGAAGCAGAAGGAGGAAGGGGAGGAGTTTTACTAGGTGTCGTCTCTATTTGAAGCACTGTATGTATATTGGTTTTTTTTTTTTTACCCTTTTAACTATCATATAGAATACATTCTGTTATTATCTGCATTTTATGCAAAGGAAATTGACATGAAGAGAAGTTAAATAGCTTGTTCAGCTCAATCAGTATCAGTCTGGGATTCCAATTTAGGCAGTCTGGTTGTAGAGTCTGTACTGTGAATTGCTATCCCAGCCGGAATGGGATTTGGACACATGAGGATGAAGGGGTAGCCACAGAGATCAAACATACAAAGGTTGACAAACTGGCTTAGGGCCATTTTGCAGAGGCCCTGGAATCCCGCACTGGCTGTCGGCACTAATATTTATACAGGCTTTATGGGTCTCACCACCTCTGCCTTTTGAGTCTGTGTAATGTTGTATTTGTAATTCAGCGGGCAGTGTTAAGCTTGCGAAAGTTTTGAGCAGGGACTGCTATGGTTCATTCCCAGTGCTGACTGAGTCTTTGGAGTTCATTTCCCCTCTTGTGAATGTGCTTATGTCTCAGCTTCGGCCATCTTCTTTCCTCTGCCTATCCTCTTTCCTTCCCGCTACACTTACACTCTGGAATGGGTTTCCTGGGCGAGCCACCCCTGTTTCTGCCTTTCCACCTCACCCTCCACTCCTCACTGTCCTCCTCTGACCTGCCCTCTGTCATCCTGCTGGAGCTGGAGCTTTCTCCCTGAGGTGGCAGTGCCAGGTTCCCTCTCCTGGAAGGGCTTTTCAGGGCTTATCTAGTGGTTGTCCGCCTGTGGTGATTTTGCCCAAGGGGATCTCTGGTGATGCTTAGAGACATTTTGTGGAGGCTGTTTGTGGCATTATGGGGGCAGGTGGGAGTGGGATGCTGCTGCACATTCTGCAGTGCCTGGAGGGCTCACGCCACAAGGGATCGTCCAGCCCAGCAGTGCAGAATGCCAGGGGTGCAGAGATTGAGAAACACTGATCTTACCTGCTACCCTGCGACTTTGACATTCTTAAAACTCCATTCTTAAAACTTTCCCTTGACTGCCTAGACAGTCTTCTCAGTTTGTTTACCGGTCTCTGTAAAGGACTCTTCTCCTCCAGCCTTGATTCAAGCCCGGCTTTCCTTGCTTTGCTTGTTCTTCTGCCCACTCCTCACATTCCTCTTGGGCATCTTGTTAGTCCTGTGGATTTGACCACAGTCTCTGGGCAGGTGACTCCACGTCTGTATTCATATGATCTAATATACTTAATGCCCATTTATAGCTGAGGAAATTGGGGATTAACCAGTTGAACTAACCAGTCTCCGTTTACACAGCAACTTGCTGTGTGGAACCGTGACTTACACATGCCTTTTTTTAATAAAAAGAATAGACTTTCATTTTCTAGAGCAGTCTTAAGTTCATAGAAAACATAGAAAGTATAGAGAGATCCCATCTACCTTCTGCCTCTCTCTGGCTCCCCCTATTATCAACACTGAATGGTACTTAAGTCATATGTTTTAATCCATGAACCTACATTGGCACATCTCCATAGCTCAATTTCATAGTTTACATTATGGTTCACTCTTGGCATTGTACATCTTATGGATTTTGACAAATGTATCATGTATCCATCACTACAGGAAGGTTTTACTGCCCCCCCCAATCTTCTGTGTTGCACCCGTTCATCCGTCTTCACCGCCCCCCAACCTCTGGGAGTCACTTATTCTTTTATTGTCGATATCACATCTTTTTGACATTTAAAAAAATAAGTTCTAAACTCAAGTGTTCAGTTATCACTGAGAAGTTATGAGATATCAGTGGAGACCTAGTCTCCATAAATCACATTTACTCCTTAAATGGATTTTACTTTCTGTCATCGTGTTTTCCTTTTTCTCTGAGAACCTGCCTGGCTATTTGGACTCTGGGTAGGGGGACATGTTTTTAAAGATAGAGTACAAATATCTTCTTCCCTTTCTGTCCTAATAGCTTTGGGAGAGTTCTGGTTTGGTTTTGTTTATTCACAAACTGGTAGTATTTCTGTGTAGACCAACAGTTAGTTTGAGCAGATATCCCTGGCATTGGGTATCAATCACTCCATCCTAGAAGAGAACTGGAGGTGAGGCTGGGCGGTTTTCTAGCTTCTTTCTGGTATTTAGGCAACTAAAACCTGTGATAAAGGCCATCAAAGGCCCTTTTGGAGATAACCACCAGAACTGTTTGGTTAAGTCACTTCATGTTATTATTTCATAGTTCAATGGTGTGATTGATTCCCTTTAAAAGGAACTCTGAAACTTCCTGTCATGACACCCCAACCTAGAGCAGCCTCATACTGTACTGTTGCAAGTAGAGGTTGACTATCCCTAATCCAAAATGCAAAATCGAAAGGGCTCCAATGAGCATTTACTTTGAGCGTTGTGTTGGTGCTCAGAAAATTCCAGATTTTGTAGCATTTCAGATTAGGGATAATCCACCTACACTGACACACAGCTAATTGTACTGTGAGCGATTTGGATTTTTAATGCTCTCTAGTATGTTTTTCAGCAGATAATACATAACAGAAATAAATTCCCTTGGCACACATCATACCAGAAGAAAATGTTAAATGTTTTCTAATCCTGTCTGATGTTTGCATTCAAGTGCTAGAAATCTTGATGCTGAGAAAATCATTACTTTGGCCCCAAGGGGCTACCGTGTTTCCCCGAAAATAAGACACTGTCTTATATTTTTTTTTTTCTCAAGAAGACACACTAGAGCTTATTTTCAGGGGATTTTTATTTTTTATTAAGTGTAATGCAACAACCTACATTTATTCAAAGACAGTTAAGTCATCTTCTTCTGGAACCTGACTGGGAGAACTGACCTTGTTGGTGGGGCTGGTGCTAGTGATGCCTGAACTCCTTTCCCCTAGCTGTGCACAATAGGATGCCTGCGACCACGGTTACCACACGCACACTCGTGCAAGTGCCAATTGCTCGGAGAAAGGAGCTGTGGCAGATAAAAGGTATTCCAGTCTTCCTACTGCTCCTCACTGAAATGCATGGCCTGGTTATGCAGATACATTGCATAGCCACGGCCATCACTAGATCTTACTATGGAGTAGGGCTTATATTTAACAAATGCATAGAAATCATGCTAGGGCTTATTTTGGGGGTAGGTCTTATTTTCAGGGAAACATGGTAGTGCGGATGATAGCTCTAGCTCTGCTCTTCGCTGGGGTGTGGGCAGGGATCCCTGTGTCCTCTGACCTGAATCTCTTATCTCTCTCTTTGTTCCTGCTCCAGAAGCCCCCTGTGCCACGCCCCTGATCTGCAGCTTCGGGAGGCCGGTGGACCTGGAGAAGGACGACTACCAGAAGGTGGTGTGCAACAACGAGCACTGCCCCTGCAGCCCCTGGATGCACCTGCAGTGCTTCTATGAGTGGGAGAGCAGCATCCTGGTCCAGTTCAACTGCATTGGCCGCGCACGCAGCTGGAACGAGAAGCAGTGCCGCCAGAACATGTGGACAAAGAAGGGCTATGACCTGGCTTTCCGCTTCTGCTCCTGCCGCTGCGGGCAGGGCCACTTAAAGAAGGACACGGACTGGTACCAGGTGAAGCGGATGCAGGACGAGAAGAAGAAGAAGTCTGGCTCAGAGAAGAACACAGGGAGGCCCCCGGGCGAGGCTGCAGAGGAGGCCAAAAAGTGCAGGCCCCCGAGTAAGCCCCAGAAAGGCCCGAGCCACGACCTGCCCCGGCGCCATTCCATGGACCGGCAGAACTCCCAGGAGAAGGCGGGCGGTGCCACGGCCTACGGCGCCCGCTCTCCTTGCGGCTCCCCAGGCCAGTCCCCACCCACCGGCTACTCCATCCTTTCCCCCGCCCACTTCAGTGGCCCCCGTTCCTCAAGGTATCTTGGGGAGTTCTTAAAGAACGCCATCCATCTGGAGCCTCACAAGAAGGCCCTGGCAGGGAGCCATGTGTTCAGAAATGCCCACTTTGATTACAGCCCAGCTGGGCTGTCAGTTCACAGGGGGGGACACTTTGACGCCCCTGTGCAGTTCCTGCGGCGGCTGGACCTCTCTGAGCTCCTCGCTCACATCCCCAGGCATAAGTTGAACACTTTCCACGTGCGAATGGAAGACGACGCCCAAGTGGGCCAGGGGGAGGATCTGCGGAAGTTCATTCTCGCCGCCCTCAGTGCCAGCCACAGGAACGTGGTGAACTGCGCTCTGTGCCACCGGGCGCTCCCGGTGTTCGAACAGTTCCCGCTGGTGGATGGAACTCTGTTCTTAAGCCCCTCGAGACACGATGAGATCGAGTATGATGTTCCTTGTCACCTTCAAGGTATAGGTGTTAATTCACCTTGCCTGCTTTCTGTTTGTTAAAAACCAAGCAGCAAACAAGATGTAATTGCTATTTGGCTTAATTTTTACTGATTTTGTTCTAGTCAGGTGCCAGGTAACATTTGACTATTTTAGCTTTGTCTAGTGAGGTGGTGGTGATTTCTTTACTGTGATGTCACTTTACCAAGTTCAGTTCTCCTGGTGGGTAATTTTATGTTTTTGTTCTGCTGTAAGTTGAAGACAATTGCTGGTGTGTATTTTTTTGTAACTGGGAGAAAATTTAAGGAAGGAACTGGATAGTTGTCACTTGTAAAATAGTTGCCTTTGAAACCTGTTTTAATGTGCTCAGCAAGCTATGTATTCCCTTTGATCATTGTAAACAGGACAGTAAGGATAAGTAGGGGGCAGAAATGGGTGAGATGTTTTTAGATTAGTTGAATTAATTTTGAAATTTGAAAATGAAGGATGAGACTGCTGTCTTGATAGTGAAAAGAAAATAGAGGATTACCCAAAGCTGGTACATTAGCCTGGTGGCGGTGGTGGAGGGAGGGGATGGTGGGAAAGCTTCTTGTTATTACGAATGACATACAAGGACTTGGGTACATTTACATTTCAGCCATAAGTTGAAGAGGATTGATTAGTATAAATGAGAAATCTGACAATTCATGTAAAACTACTGAACTTCTGTAAAGATGAGCTGTATAATGTGAGGTTGGATAATCAAGTTCGCAAACTTACTCTGGAAAAAATGCTATGGACTTCATTGCTGAATATCGCTCTGGTCACCTGCAAAGTCCTCCCCTGGGGAAGCTGTGCACTGACAGCTGTGCCTGATCCACCCTTTCACTAACTTAATTGTCAGACCCTGTAGAATGACAGCTCTGAGGGCCATTCCAGAAAAATTGTTCTAAAATTACTTTGAAGTGTGGACTAGGTGCTGGCTCAATACATAGCTTCCCAAGGGTGGGTACTTCAGAAGTGGTCATGGTGATATTTAGCAACGGGGCATGTAGCAGTTTTACTAGGAGGAGTTCATGAACTTAATTGTCCTACCTCATATGTCATGCTTAGGCTTTAAATGTGTGCTAAAGAAGCCAGTAGTAAAAGTGATATATCCTCACCTGCCTTCTTCCCACCAGCCCCTGCTGTCACAGTTTCCCAGGGATACGTTCAAATCTTAACTAAATGTCAGGTTTTAACATTTTAAGTAGTGCTATCTTCATTCTCCAATTTTATATATTATCCATTGTCTTTTACTTTTAAGATGGATGACTAGGTGTCTGTCCCCTCTCTCCTTTCTCACAATTCATATGTTTACTATTGTGAGTATGTAAATATTTAATGTTGAGCCAAGAAGTTATTCTTCAGTTATTAGGGTTATTTCTTATTATAGAGTAAAGTATACTCTAGGACACCTTTTGTTTTTATTAGACTTAATAATTAATTCATGTTATTTGCATACTTTTTTTTTTTTTTTAACTTTGGCTAGTTCTCACTTATCCAGCAGCTTCACAAACCATCTTTCAAAAACATCTCCACTTATTTGTCAGTTTGGGGAATTTTTTTTTTTCCTTGAAAATATCCTTTGTGGTGAACTTTGATCCTCCTGCTCCTTCCTGTTCTGGTAGGAAACTCAGGACCTGTTGCTCTATCCAGGGGTCCTCAGACTTTTTAAACAGGAGGGCCAGTTCACTGTGCCTCAGACCGTTGGAGGGCCGGACTGCAGGCCCCGGGAAGAGTCGGCTGCTAAGCAGGACAGGCAGCTGCAGCAAAAACACCTGGCAGGCCAGATAAATGTCCTAGGCGGGCCGCATATGGCCCACAGGCTGTAGTTTGAGGATGCCTGCTCTATACAATGTGCTTCTAGAAATATCTTCATTTATTTTTTACTTTGTTTCCTAGATTTTATATTTTCTTGGTGTATTCCCTCAATTTGTTAAGAAACACCCTGCAGGTACTTTCTGAGAAAGGGAGCGTGGGAGTAGGTGATTGGAGATTTTGAAAGTCTGAGACTATCTCCCTTAAAGCATCATACTTGATTGCTGTGTAACTAACTATAGTGCATTCTTTACTATCTACTGTCTTAAAATGTCACTACTGAGAAGTCTAACGTTCTTATTCCTGTCCTACCTACATCTCTACCCCTCTTTGAAGGTTTTAAGGTTCTCTCTTTATATTCCTAATATTCTGAAGTTTCACCGTGATGTGATGCCATCACCTCCATTCATTGTACCTTTTCTTTATAGTCTCTTGGCCCTTTGACTTTAATGGTCTTCCATTTGGAGAAATTTACTTTTGTAAAATTCTTTGATAATTTCCTCCTCACTATTTTCACTTAAAATCAGATACTGGATCTCTTAGATTGATTCTTTTTTGGGATGGGGAGCGTAGGGGACCCCCCTCACTAATGTTAATATGTATATATTCAGTCCTGTTTATCTCTTTATTCTGCTTTACGGAAAATGTCTTTGGCCTTATATTCTAGTATTTTTACTGAGCTTAAGATTTTCTATTCTTTATTATTTTTAATTTCCAAGAGCTCTTTTTATAGCATCCTTTTGTTTCATGGATGCAATTTCTTGTGTTGGCTTTCTGAGCAATGAAAGGGAGCTGAGATTGCAGAAGTGTAGTCTCCTTCGTTTTGAGGATTTTACCCCTTTGTGTCTTTCAACCTTTGTTGTAAAACCGAGCACTCCAAAACTCAATGGTTTAAAACAGTGATGATTTCGTGACTTCTCACAGTTCTGTAGGTTGGTTAGTTAGGACAGTTAGGTTGGCCTAGGAGCCCTCAGTTGGAATACTCATCTGTGTTCCATGCAGTCTTTTGTCTTCTGGTAGGCTGGCTTGGGCTTTTTTGTTCTCAGGACGGCCATTCAACAGGATGAATGTAGAAGCCACAAGGTCTTTTCCTAGGCTTAAGCTTGGAACTGAATAATATCACTTCTATTACATTTTGTTTATCAATATAAGTTCTAAGGCTAGCCTATGTTCAGATGCTGTAGCACTCTGATTTCTTTCTTTTTTTTTAGGATGTAAAAGTATATAGACTGTCTTCTTAGAAGGAGAAAGAGAGTGAGAGAGTAAAAGAGCAGGGAGATGGCATGGCCTCCCAAAGGAAGAATGCCAGCCCATACCCTGTTTCTTGGTGGAAAGAGTGGCACAGATTTCATGGTCATTTGTAATTTACTGCACCCTACTGTTTCCCTCTCAGCTCCTCATTCTGCCTTCCCCAGTGCTTGTTGTTAAGCGTCAGAGCTAAACTATTTACCATTCCTGCATCCACTCACATGTTTTGTTTCATTCATGCAAGATAGAGTTTGTGATTTTGTTTCTTTTTCTTTATCCTGTTTAGGGGTAATTTTAGAGGGAAGGAGATGGAAATATCTTTACTTCATCTTAAATCTTGAAACCGTTTTTATGAAGGTGAAAGGGTACATGGTAAATGAGAGTAGGATTGTTGTTCTATTCTTGATGGACAAATTCTTTTGATGCACTGTGTTGATTAGTTGGATCCTTGCCTGTCTTCAGTTCATAATCTTAGTGTATAAGATACTTTTATAAAATGTAACTAACTTTACCAGGCCTAAGGTCCTAGTACCATGTGGACTTGGTAGCACCTAGATTTCATATACATTAGGTGTCTTGTAAGATCTAAAGAGGAAGGACCCACCTTGGGCTGATTAATCAAAGGAGGCAGCATGAAAGTAGATGTGAAAAGATGGGCTTGATCTTGATAAGCAGAGAATCTAGTTATATCACATGTTTGTTGATGAGGAGAAGGAACAATGTGAACAAAGAAAAGGTGGTAGGAAAAGAAAAGGATAGGTTGTGATCAGGAGATAGGGAGAGAACTGTTCAGTTGACACCAAGTATCCTAGGGTAGAAAATGAAGAGGGGAGTTAGAGACTGGATGGTGGGGATCCTTTCAAGCCATAATCAAGAGCTTTACCATATTCTTTGTGACTGAATTAAAGGGTTTTAAACACTTTTTTAAAGCAGACAGTCACATGGGGAAACATTTGAAAAGAATAGGTCCTAGAGAGTTGAAACTTTATTTCTCTAGCCCACAGTGTGAGAAGGTGAGACAGCCGGATGGGGTCAGTGGATGGAAAAGGTGGGGGATATCTTTAAGAGATTATTTTAAAGGAAATTACAGCTTTGGGTTTGGGTTCACCTGGACTGGAAGGCTGAAGAAGAGTCTTTGTGAACTCACTTTTCTTTTAGACTGGATCAATGGTGCAGTCACAGAAGTGGAGAAAGTTAGGGGACAGGAGATGAGATTTGCATTTGTTGGGTTGAAATGGATGGTGGGACTTCTGTGTGGAGATGTCTTGGAAGCATGGGTAGGTAAGCACTTTAAGTGGATGCTAAGGAGCTTATTTCGTAACAGTGGTGATTAAAATCCTGAGAGTAGGAAGAGCTCTTAAATGGAGAGAAGAGGAAAAGAAAAAGGCAGAAGATATGACAGAGCCTAAGGCCAATCTTGAGGGCACCTACTGGGGAGCAGATGAGGAAAAAGGTGAAAATTAGGTAGGCCTCAGTACTAGTGTGCCCACATAGATATAAGGGATGTGTTAGGTGTGTACTGCAAAGATATTGAGAACTTGAGCTATTGATTATGAAAGCTGCAGATCAGGGTGTTAGATCAGTATGGGAGCAGTCATCATTGCCACAAGTTGAGGCCTATTAGTGTTTTTAATTAGTGTTTTAAAAACACACGTATTAGTGTTTTTATTGCTACATTGTGTAGAAGTCCCTGTGCTTTTATTGTATAGTAAGCTAGTGTAAATCATTTCTTCAGTCACACATTCCCAACCGTGGATTCTTGAGTTGATAGCATTTGAGCTCCAGTGGAAGGCCACGTTCCTGGCCACAGGCTTACGCAGCCTGCAGTTGATTATGTGCTTGCTGCACAGTGCTGGCTGTCCTCAGGGGTGCCCCTTGTGGGTTGTCACTCCCATGCCCTGCCCTGTCCTCCTTACTGCCTGCACCCTCTCTGCTTCTGGCTTCTGTTCTCATTCTTCCACTGAAAAAAATGTTATGTTGGTTTTAATCACTTATTAAGATTGATCTAATTAGGAAGATCTTTTACTGGGTTCTTTACCACTTTGAACCACATGTGATTGTTTTCTTGACAATCTGCTTTTGGGGGCAGCGCGTGTGGCTCAAGGAGTAGGGTTCAAGCCTGGCCTTGGCCAAAAACTGCAAAAAAAAAAAAAAAAAAAGAGTCTGCTTTTTGTTTAAACTCATAATACTAGGGTTTAGAAATTTAGAATTCTGTATACTTAGGTCAATAGGAACTGAGACAAGCCTGGAGACTCAGTCTAGGCCAGGTGTTCTGTGAGTTTACCTGTACATTATGAGACAGACGTGGGTTTCAGTCTGAACTTTGGACTTTACTACTTACTATCTTGTGAACTTGGGTGAGCTGCCCACATTCTCTAGCTTCAGTTCCTTCTAGCTGAAGTAAAAGTAATAGGAATTTACTTTACAGGGTTGCTGTGAGGCCTAAATGAAATGATTCACATAGAGCTTGTAGCAATGCCAGACCTTTGGTAAGCACTCAGTAGAAGTGACTTATCTTGGCTCGGCGCCTATAGCTCAACCGGC